CTGCGTCTCTCGCGCGATGCTTGAGAGACGCAGACATACAAACTTCAAATAGCTGTATCTCGGCTCCTAGAATAGCTAGAAAGTTGAAAATTGGACAGAAATGTGTAGAATGTCATGAGGAACAAGTTGATAGCAAATACGAAGGCTAGAGACGCAGCGTGTCTCGTCGTCTGGCGTCTCTAGCCTTCCAAACTTTGGAAAGCTATATCTCGGCTTCTAGAAGACCTAGCAACTTGGTTCCTGGACCAAATTGAAGGATTCTTCTTGCAGATCCGCCCGGGCAAGCGATCCCACCGCGCCGTCGGCTGCAACATTGTCGAAAACGGCCGCGACATCAACAAAGTGATCGGATGCCGTTGGTACGAGCAGAACCCCGATTGGAAGATCGAGAAGACGTGCGAAACCGACGGACCGAACAAGACAAAGGTGACAACCGTGGGATGCATTTACAAGTACAAGGGATTCGACCGTATCTTCTTGGAGCCAGGAAAGTACACCATCTGGAACCTTCCAAAGCAAAAGGACGCTTCCGTTGGGCTCGCTTGCCGAAAAACTTCTGATGGCGCCGAATTGCTCATCTTTGACGTTGCTCAGCTCGAGAGAAGTACCGCTGGGTTGAGCTACGATTTGCCACGTGGAAAGAAGTAGATCGATAGATCGATGATTGATTTTTTTTTGAATTTTTTTTTGGTCACCCAGAGCTTTCCGATTTCTATATTTTTTGAATTTTTTTTCTGTTCCTACTGTACTCCGATCCCCCTACGTGTACCTATTTTGTTAGTAATAAGCTACAGTATCCCAAGATTTTAATAAAGAATTTGTTCCAATATTTCTATGGCCTAATTTTCTCCTGGTGGCCTAGTAACCCAATTTTAGGGGTTCTTGGCCTAGAAACCCAATTTTTAGGTCATTTTTTATCTAGTTTTTTTGTGGCCTAACTTTCCCCGTGGAATTTTCTAGGCCATCTAAAAAAATTATACATTTATCTGAAAGGAAAAAAAACGAATCTCTAATGGACAATTTTCGAGAGAGAAAGGGAGTAAAAAAGGGGGCGGGACGAGGGAATTTTTATCAAAACATCAATTTTCGAGCTCTACGAGGCTCTAGAATGCGGATGGCTCGGCGGCTGGCTTCGACTTGAATCCGGTGAGCAGCGATTTGATCTCTCCAATGGCCTTGGCTGGATTCAGATGCTGAAAATAGGGGATTTTAAGAGGTGGAAGAGTTTTTTTCAGCTTTTGGAAACCTAGGCCATCAATTATAAAGCTAAAAATTCGAAAAAAATGCTCGAAACGCTGCTAAATCAATGGAAAAAATTGGTGGCCGAGTTTTTGAAAACCTAGACCACCAATAGAAAACCCGTTTTTGAGCAATTTTTAAGGCTCTCGTGGCCTAGAAACCCCATTTTTAGCCCCAAAAACTCACTTTTGGACAAGTCTTGGTGCAATTCATGATGGTATGACACTTGAACGCCGAGAACGAGTCGTGCATGCGGTGAAGACGTTCCTGTGCATAGTCGTCTCTCGAGTCGATGACCCAACGGTAGGCCTGCATGAGGACGGCGGGTCCGAGGTACTTGTCGGCGTTCCACCAGTAGGATGGGCAAGAGGTGGAGCAGCACGCGCACAGGATGCACTCGTAGAGGCCGTCCTGGAAGAAATAGAGGTTGGCCGAGTTTTTTTTTTGGAAACCTAGGCCATCAATTTTTAGAGCCAAGAACTCGGAAAAATCGCTCCTAAAGGTGCTAATTCGGCCAGAAAATTTGGTGGCCGTGTTTTCCAGAAAAGAAAACCCATTTTTCGGGCTCTCGTGGCCTATAAAAAGGCTCTCGTGTCACTCGTGACCTAGAAAACCATTCATGGCCTAGAAAAACTCACCAAACGGTCACGTTCGGCGACACTTTGGTGCATTTGCTTCTCGCCAAGAGTCAGAGGAGTCTTCTTTTGAATCCATGGCTGAATGGAGGCGTATTGAGCGTAGAACAGGTTCATGTCGGGGACCAGGTCCTGGAAAAGGTAGAAATTTATGGGTGGCAGAGAAAATACAGGGGAAAGTTAGGCCATCAAAGCTTTTATAGCCAAGTGGCCTAACTTTTGCAATTCCTAGTCCACTAAGTGGTCTGGTGGCTGAGAAAATGAAAAAGTTCGGCCAGCAGAGCTTATAGAGCCTGGTGGCCTAAATTTTGCAATTTCTAGGCCATCAAGTGTCTGGTTGCCTAGGAAATCGGACAAGTTAGGGCAACAAAGCCTAGTGGCCTAACTTTTTCATTTTCTAGGCCACCAGATGTTTGGTGGCCTAGAAAATCGGACAAGTTAGGCCAGCAGAGCTTTTAGAGCCTAGTGGCCTAACTTTTGCAATTCCTAGGCCACCAAGTGGTCTGGCGGCCGAGAAAATGAAAACGTTAGGCCAGCAGAACTTATAGAGCCTGGTGGCCTAAATTTTACAATTTCTAGGCCATCAAGTGTCAGATGTCTGGTGGGCTAGAAAATCGGACAAGTTAGGCCACTACAGCTTTTAGAGCCTGGTGGCCTAGCTTTTGCAATTCCTAGGTCACCAGACCACCTGGTGACCTAGGAAATTGGCAAGTTAGGCCAGCAGAGCGTATAGAGCTTGGTGGCCTAACTTTTACAATTTCTAGGCCATCATGCTAAATGTCGAGCTAGAAAAACGTGGGAAAAAGCTAGCCACGAAAACTCAGTGGCCTAGCTTTTGCATTTCCTAGGCCACCGACATCAAATTCAGTCTATTGAGCTCATTTTTGAGCTAGAAAAGCTAGATTTTGAGCTAGAAACACGCGGAAAAAGCCTTCTGGCCTCGGATTTCGCTCTTCCACCTACCTTGACAACGAACATATGGGGAAGCGGATAGATCTTGGTGCTTTTCGAGGTGTCCGCGTCGATTTTGCAGATGCACGCGAGGGTATTCTCACCGCCAATGTTCATGGCGCACGATCCGCAGATTCCTTCACGGCAACTACGACGGAACGTCAGCGTTGGGTCCACCTCGTTCTTGATCTTGATTAGGGCGTCGAGGATCATCGTTCCGCATTGATCGAGGTCGACGTCGAATTTCTGAAAAATTTTAGGCGTTTTTAGGCTCATTTTTAGGCATTTTAGGCCCTCTTAATGCTATTTTCGGTCATTTTAGGGTCCGAAAGACAATTTTAAGTAATTTTAATCGGTTTTAGTCAAATTTCTGGCAATTTTAGGCATTTTAGGGGGTTTTAAGCCAGTGTTTCAGCCGAAAAACTCTATAAAATCATCATTTTTGAGAATTTCGAGTCAATTTTCATGATTTTTGTGTCAATTATCATGATTTTTGAGTCAATTTTCATGATTTTTGGGTCTATTTTCGTGATTTTTGAGTCAATTTTCATAATTTTGAGTCATTTTTCATGAATTTCGAATCAATTTTCATGATTATTGAGTCATTTTTCATGATTTTTGAATCAATTTTCATGATTATTGAGTCATTTTTCATGATTTTTGAGTCATTTTTCATGATTTTTGGGTTAATTTTCATGATTTTTGAGTCAATTTTCATGATTTTTGATTCAAATTTTATGATTTTTAGGTCGATTCTCAGTGAAACATCTTTTTTTTTTTTCATTCCCACCTGAATAGTCGGCTTGGCTCCTGGCGCTTCTGGATTGAAGCGGTAGATTTCGAAGGTCTTGATGCGGTTTCCGGTCTTCTTTGGCTGAGCAGCGGCGGCGCCTGAAAAATCGATTTTTTGAAGTCCGCGAGGTTTCAAAGAACCACCAAGTGCCTACGTGCGATTTTTGAAAATCGGTGAAAAACTGGGAAAATTGACAAAATTGGGGTTTTTAAGGCTGAAAATCGCATTTTTCAAGTGAAAAATAGGTGGAAATAGAGGGGAAATACTCAAAAACCGTTTTTAAGGCAAAAAAAATTTTTTTTGAACAATCTCAAAAAAAATCTTTTTTTTTCAGGTTTTCTAGACATTTTCATGATTTTCAGCTCATTTTAATCATATTTGCACAACAATATCACCTAGAAAACTTTTCATAATCCTGACAAACCTGAAGCGGCACGAGCGGCATTGGCGGCTAGCTCAGCCGAGTGCACAAAGAGAGCCGAGCGCGCGAGCATCTGAAAATTTGAAATTTTCACATTTTTTATCATTTTTTATCAGAAAACCCCAAAAAATTTCAGGGAAAATGGGTGAAAACAAACAAAAACCAATGGACGTGACTTTTTAATTTCGGCAACGATGCTCCGAAATAACGCTGGTGCGCTCTGTTTAGCGGGTCTTGTGTCGATTTACGGTGTGAAAAATAAATAAAAATGCCAGATTTTTAATTTTTTCAGCCGATTTTTATCAAAAATTTCAGCGAAAAACATGCTCCGACACTTTCTAATACCGAGTTTTTTGATTTTATCGTCATTTTCCACCCCGGAACTCGACTCCGCCCCTTTTACAGACGACCCATGGGATTTGGACGGTCCTTGTCAGAAATATGTGGAAGTATAACTCGAAAAAACCGAATTTCCTGGTAAAAACATGCGAAAATTTCAGAAATTCGCATATTATCAAGCAGAAATGGTCGCGTGCGCCACAAACTGGTCGATTCCGCCGAAAGTGTGCACGAATTGCTATCAGAACTATATAAATTTCAAGACCTACGAGTTTGAGACGAAGAATTTGGTAATTTCGGGGTTTTTAGACCAGAAAATGCATTTTTAACCCCGAAAATTCCAGAATAACGTCTTCTCCCTGGACAATCGGACCTGTTCTCAAGTGATCTACGACAATTATTTATTGTCGTATAGTAGTGATATTTCCACTGCGCTGACATCGAAAATTTGGGAGAAATCGAGATGTGATTGTGAGTTTTTAGGCTGAAAATCATGAAAAATCACTCAAAAATCATGAAAAACGACTCAAAAATCATTAAAAATGATTCAAAATTCATGAAAAATGATTCAAAATTCATGAAAAATGATTCAAAAATCATGAAAAATGACCCAAAAATCATGAAAAATTATTCGAAAATCATGAAAAATTATTCAAAATTCATGAAAAATTATTCAAAATTCATGAAAAATGATTCAAAATTCATGAAAAATGACCCAAAAATCATGAAAAATGACAGAAAAATCATGAAAAATGACTCAAAAATCATGAAAAATTATTCAAAAATCACCAATAAATTCTAAAAATTCTTTCGAAATTTTTAGGATTTTATGTGATTTTTGAATCAATTTTCATAATTTTAAGGTCATTTTTCATGATTTTTGGACCATTTTCCACGATTCTCAGGAAGCTAATTTCACCTCAAAAAACCCAGATTTTGCAGCCTGCGTCACCATCACCTGGTCCCTACACGACAACAAATCCGCGCCAACATTCACCGATAGAACCATCCAATTTCAGCAACGGCTCTACGAATGGCGAAATTGTGTGGTAAACTATACTTCTGGGGACGTTTTGGACCCAAAAATGGTCCCAAATGATCCAATTTTGACGCCCGAAGACCTGAAAAATAGCTCAAAAATCTGTAACGAGTGTAAATCGGAATTCGACGAGTTATATAAGTTTTATTGGAAGATCTATACGACGCCAGATGTGGATTTTTGTGTAGACGTCGAGACGACGATGAACGATACGATTCATTTGTGGCAAGTTTTTTTTTCTTTTAAAATATCGATTTTTAGGTCAATTTTCATGATTTTTAGGTTGTTTTTCATGAAAAATGACCTAAAATTCATAAAAAAAAATAGCCTAAGAATCATGAAAAATGGACAAAAAATCATAGAAATCTACCCGAAAATTGTAAATTTTCAGGATTTTTTATGATTTTTTGAATGATTTTAAAACTTCCGGGAGAAACGACTTTGAAAGAAAAAAAAATTATATTTTTCGCAAAAAATTGATTTTCCCGTTGATTTTAATGGTTTTTAGGGCCGAAAATCAGGAAAAATCACGAAAAAATTGCCAAAAATCATAAAAAGTAACCCAGAAATCATGAAAATCGACCCAAAAATCAAGAAAAATGACCCAAAAATCATGAAAAATGGACAAAAAAACATGAAAAATGACCCAAAAATCTGGATTTTGTATCGAAAAATGTGAAAAAAATCCATTTTTTGAATTTTCAGGGACGACGTTTGGCAGTGTGCAGAGCGCCAGGACAGAAATCGAGACCTCTTTGGAATTATGGTCACTTTTGCCACGTTGATGCTCCTGACGGCTCTGTTCTATGCGGCGAGCTATATTCAAGGCGGTGGACAGCAAAGGAATCTGGTTAGATGTGAGTTTTTGGTTTTTTAAAGTTAAAATAGCTATTCTATTCTGATCCCTCCCACTTGACCTACAGGACTCTAGTCGGTCCGTCTGGTCATTTTACTTTTTTTATTTGTACAGGTCCCATTTCTTGCCAAATTATCTATCGATTTCCCCCATGCATTGCAAATAAATATATTATTATTATTATTAGCTAGAGGTACGGTACTACAAAGAAAATTGACTAAAAAATCTGAAAATTGACTCAAAATTCATAAAAAATAAGTCAAAAATCATGAAAGATGGTCCAAAAATCATGAAAATTGACTCAAAATTCATGAAAAATAAGTCGAAAATCATGAAAAATGGTTCAAAAATCATGAAAATTGACCAAAAAATCATGAAAATTGACTCAAAATTCATGAAAAATAAGTCGAAAATCATGAAAAATGGTTCAAAAATCATGAAAATTGACCAAAAAATCATGAAAATTAACTCAAAATTCATGAAAATCGACCCAAAAATTATGAAAATTGACCCAAAAATCATAAAAAATAAGTCAAAAATCATGAAAGATGGTCCAAAAATCATGAAAATTGACTCAAAATTCATGAAAAATAAGTCGAAAATCATGAAAATTGACCAAAAAATCATGAAAATTGACTCAAAATTCATGAAAAATAAGTCAAAAATCATGAAAAATGACTCAAAAATCATGAAAAATGACTCAAAAATCATGAAAAATGAGTCAAAAATCACCAAAAAATTCTAAAAATTACGATTTTTTCGAAATTTTTAGGATTTTATGTGATTTTCGAATCAATTTTCAAAATTTTTGGGCCATTTTTCGTGATTTCTGGTCCGTTTTTCGTGATTTTTGAGTCATTTTTCATGATTTTCAGGGCCTAGGTTTCCAACCATTTTTCTTGATTTCTAGGCCATTTAAAGGAGCTACTGTTCTTTCAAAAAAATTTATTTGTGGCGCCTAGTGATTGTCAGGATTATAATGTGTTTTTTTTCCGAATTTTTTGAATTCCAGATTCCCGCCTCTCGGATCCACGTGGACAACGCTCACGTCTTCTGTCTTCTGGAATGTCAGACGCCGATTTGGTGCATCGTTTCGTGTCGTCTACAGTACCCCCCATTCATCAGATGCGATGATTTTTTAATGATTTTTTGCGATTTTTTAAGAAAAAAAAGTGGTTTTTCTGTGATTTTTTTGTGATTTTTTGAGAAAAAATTGTGATTTTTGACGACTAGATTTTGATTTTCAGGGAGTTTATGCTTTTTTTCGTGATTTTTTTGCAATTTTTAGCCTTTTTTTAGTGATTTTTCCCCAATTTTTTTTTTGCTAAATCTCTATAATTTTTTGTTCGATTTTCATCTTTTTTAATGATTTTTCCCCCAAAATTTCAGCCAACTTTTGCCTAGAATCGTCTTTTTTCTAGTTGTTTTTTCCCTCAATTTTTCCTGCCAAATTCGATATTTTGCCTGTGATTTTTCTCTAATTTTTTGTTTCTCTTTTCTCGATTTTTGTATATTTCGAACCAAGAAAAATGTATTTTTTTTGTTGAATTTTTTTGATGTTTTTAAACCGGTTTTCAGCAGAATTTTCTCATATTTTTAATCTATTTTTCGTGAATTTCTATGTCAGAAACCCCATCTAAAATTCCGCGAAAATTGAAATTTCGAAAAAATGTCCCAGAATAGCTAAAATCCAAAAAAAAAGACCCTAGTGTGTGTTTTCTAGGTCATTTTGTAGTGGTGGCCTAACTTTTGCAAATTGGGTTTTCTAGACCGGAGCTATTTTGGACTACTGTAGATGCTCCATTTCCATGTTTTTTGGTTATACTGTGGGGATTTTTTGAATTTTCGGAATTCGAAAAAATCAAGATGTTTCTCACACCAACTTTTTTTCCCTCAAAGATTGTCCAATTTTTGTGTAAAAAAACGCGAGAAAAAAATCCAGAAGGCACACACACACACACATACATTTTGCCCCGAAATGACCGTGTAAACGATGTTGGGGTAGTGTGTTAACCGCATGTTTTCTGCTCCTCAGCGTTTTCTAATGTCTTCTTTTGCGGCCGAGAAAAGTGAACATTTCGTGTTTGTTCTCCGCGGAAAAGATGCGCGGCGGTGCACTGCGGACGGACGCTACTGTGCACATCATTCATTTTGTTTCTCTTTCTTTTTCTGTTCTTCTTGTAAATCGCCTTTTTTGCTGATTTTTTAAGCGAAAAAATCAACTTTTTCCGCCCAAAATGGCCTAGAAATCCGGAAAACTAGGCCATGGCCTAGAAACTTCAAGTTTCTAGAGTCCTAGGCCTTTTCTGAAGGTGGCCTGGGAACCTAAAAATTCAAGTCTTCTTCAAGATGCTAGGATCTCTAGCTGCTGGTCTAGGAAATCCAAAACTCGGCCAGCAGAGTAGTATTAGATGGGCTAGAAAAAGCGAGGAAGTGGAAAATCTAGGCCACCGTTTTTTTTTCACAAAGCCTACCAGACTAAGAGCTAGTTTTCCGAGAAGAACATAAAAAACTAGGCCAACGGTGAGATGGCCAGAAAATCAAACTATTGGAAAACTAGGCCACGAAGGTATCTTCAGAGACAGAATGCCTGGTGACCTAGAAATCCAAAACTCGGCCACCGAGATATCTACTGCAGAATCTTTGGGGTTTATGACCCAGAACTTGTGGTGGCCTAGAAAACATGATCTTGGATTCTTGGTTTTCTGGATTTTCAGGATTTTATGATTCTTAGATTCCCGAAGTTTCAAAGAATTCCTGAATTGCTAGATTTCTGAATTTTTAGAATTTCTTGGAACTCTGAGATTCCTGGATTCGTAGATTCCTGAAATTTTGGATTCTTGGATTCCTGGATTCTTAAAATCTTAGATTTTTTGATGCCTGGATTTTTGGAATTTTTGGGATTTCTAGATTTTTAGAATCTGCATTTCTGAACTCTTGGATTTTTAGATTACCTGGAATTTCGGATTTTTGGATTCTCAGATTCTTAGGAATTCGAATTCCTGAACTTTCTAGATTTCTAGATTCCTGAATTAGTAATGTAACTGAAAGAACTCCCAGAAACACTAACTGCTAAAAGACACTATTGCAAACAACGAGATGCAGAGAGAGTGAGAGACACAGACAAACGCTATGCACTCACAGAACCTCTATGCACTCAAAGAGACCTTTGTAACCTGAAAAACTAGAAGACACTAAAACACAGAATTCCTATAAAACACTATTCATTGAATCAACAATAAATCACTATAAAATCTTTAAAACCAGTGAGCAACACTTTAACGGGTCGTCACCAATCGTGAGCGAACACCAGCGAAAACTAAAGAAAACGATGAGAATTTGCCGAGAGAGAGGAGACGCGTTTTGGCACGCACACAGTTTCGCGCGCGGATACAGTAATCCACACCTCTTGCACGTGTGTTCTGGGGAGATTTCTCTCCTTTAGACTTGGAAAAAGGATTTTAAAAGAAAAAACACGGTTGAATACCGTACAAATTCCTGAATTCCTAGATTCCTAGTTTTCTAAACTTCCGGATTTCTGGATATTTGATTTCTGGGATTCTTAAATTCCTGAATTTCTTGAATTTCCGTTTTTCTGAATTTCTGGACTTTTCGATTTCTGGATTCCTGAATTTCTCAATTATTAGGTTTCTGGATCCCTAGATTCCTGGATTCCTAAATTCTTGGATTCTTGGATTCCTGGATTTTCAGGTTTCTGGATTTCTAGGTTTTTGAAATTACTGATTTTTAAAATTCCTAGATTCCTAAACTTCTAGATTCCCAGATTCCTACATTTCTGAATTCTCAGATTCCTGGATTCCTGAATTTTTGGGTTCTTTGAATTTTGGATTTCTAGATTCTAGGATCCCTGGATTACAGGTTTCCTGGATTTCCAAATTTCTGGATTTCCAAATTTCTGGATTCTGAGATTCTTAGATTATTGGATTCTCAAATTTCCCAGTTTCAGAATGTTTGAATTCCTTAAATTCTGAATTTCCGAATTTTCTGGGTTCTAGATTTTTGGATATTCAGGATTCATAAATTCCAGGGTTTCTGGATTCCTGGATTCCTGAATTTCCGGATTCCTGGATTCCTGGATTCCTGGATTCCTGGATTCCTGAATTTCCGAATTCCTGGATTCCTGGATTCCTATATTCCTGGATTCCTGGATTTCCAGATTCCTGGATTCCTGGATTCCTGGGTTCCTGAATTTCCAAATTTCTAGATTCCTGGATTTCTGGAATCCTGAACTCCTATATCTCTGAATTATTAAATTTCTAGATTCCTGAAAATACTGGATTCGTGGATTTGATAGATTTTCTAGATTTTTTTGGTTTCTCAAGATTCCTAGATTCCTAGATTCTTAGATTTTTGGGTTGCTGGATTTCTAGATTCCGCAAAACCAGTCTTCTTGGGCTCGCGGAGCACAAATAGACAAACCATCTGTATACCAGGTGTTCCCCTTCCTGCTCCATTCAATTTTCACACGTCAATGCTCGCCGAGCCATTTTCGGGTTTTTCCTCTTCCTTTACCAATTTCCCCCCACCACATCCATCCATCCATGTTTGTCAAATCGGCAGAGAGAGAGAGAGCACTCCTCTGCGTCTCTCACCTCCCCCATACTATTTCTCCAAGCTGACACTCAAAAATGGAACGAAGAGAAATGTATGTGTGTGTGTGAGTGTATTTGGCACAGGCTCCCGGTTTTTTTCTCCCTGCCAAAAAAAAACCCAAAAAGTCATGAATTCTACTCTCCGATTCTCTCGTGGCCTAGAAACCCAGAAAGTTGGAAAACTAGGACACGGTTTATGGCCTAGGCCACCTTTTCCCAGTGGCCTAGAAATTTAAGATTCGGTCATCGACCAAAAACTGTTTTCGACAGTATGACCTAGAAAAACTTTGGTGGCCTAGAAATCCAAAAAACTTGGAAAACTAGGCCATCACTTCCAAGAAACTAGGCTCCTTACCTGGTGGCCTAAAAATCCGAGATTCGGCCAGCGAACCTTCTAGAGGCAATCTGGCCTAGGAAAAACTTTGGTGGCCTAGAAATCCAAACAAATTGGAAAACTAGGCCATCACTTCCAAGAAGCTAGGTTCCTTACCTGGTGGCCTAGAAATCCGAGATTCGACCAGCAAACCTTCTAGAGGCAATATGACCTAGGAAAAGCTGTGGTGGCCTAGAAATCCAAACAAATTGGAAAACTAGGCCACCGTTTTCACACAGCCTAACAAATAACAGGATGGCCAAAACATCTCAAACAATCAGGTGGCCTAGAAATCCAAAAAAAAAGCTGGGAAACCTCGGCCACCGTGTTCCTGGAGCTTCTTAAGTCAAATTCGCGATGATTTTCAAGCGATTTTGAGCACATGTTTTGTGGTCCAAAACCTCGGAAAGTTCCAAATTCCGTCCCCGTTTTTCCCCGATATTTATCTCATGTGTGAATCTGTGATGGACCGGAAGAGGCCTTCAGAAACGGAGATTTTGGAGCTGAAAATCAAGATTTTCAGCCCCGAAACAATCGATTTTTAGAAGCCAAAAATCATGAATCTTTGAGCTAGAAAATCAAGATTTTCGATTCCAAATTGTTCAATTAACCCAAAATCCATTGATTTTTAGACATAAAATCATGGATTTTTGACCGAAAAAATTGAGATACTATAAGCTGGAAAAGCACGATTTTTGGATCTGAAAATTGTTCAATTTATGGCTGAAAATAAGATTGCTCAGCTCACACGGACTACCGTATTCCAATGGGCGGCTACACGGTCACAATACCTCGACAAATGAGAGGTGTATGTAAATTTGAGGTCCCCCTCTCTTCTCATCCATCCCAAACCCCATAATTATCTCTTGCCGTTCCGACAAAACGGATCAGAGTGAGAGAGTGAGAGACGCAGAGAGAGAGAGAGAGAGAAAGGAATATTCTGAATATCTTCTTCTTCTTGAGGAATATTATCAAGAATGTGTGTCCTTAATTTGGGACGACGTGGCGGAGGAGGACAAAAGGAGATAACAAGAGATATCAGCTGATATCAGACAGACACAGGGATACTGTATGTCACCAGAAATTTGAAATTCTAGATGATAGCTTCTTCTGGCTAGATGGCCTAGAAATCCAAAAACTCGGCCTCATCAAGATTTCTAACGAGGCTTTGGACATTATGGCCTAGAGAACCGTATTTTTGGAAAACTAGGCCACCACCATCTCACACCGCCTAGCTGGCTTTTTTCAAAATCGTGCTGGCCTAGAAATCCAAAAACTCGGCCATCAAGATTTCTGAAGAGTCCTTGAGCATTATGGCCTAGAAACCCGACATCTTGAAAAGCTAGGCCAGCAGAGTAGCTGCTCTTAAGATCAGATGGCCTAGAGAAACTCCGTCAAGTTGAAAATCTAGGCCACCAGAGAAACGTGGCCTAGAAACCCAAGAAGAACTTTTTACCCGATGGCCTAGAAATCCCAAACTCGGCCAGCAAGATTTCTAGAAAAGTTTCTGGAATTATGGCCTAGAAACCCAATGAAAACTAGGCCATGGAGAAATGTGGCCTAGAAAACCACTGGCACCTTGAGAATCTAGGTCATCTTCTGGATTTTTGGGATTCCTGGATTTCTTGATCTTCCGATCCTCCGATCCTCATCTGTTATTGCTCTCATATCCCTCTCTCTCTCTCTCTTTGTTCTAATACTACAGTACTCCCGAACCCCAAAGCGTGGGAAGCTTTAGTGTCAAGTGTTCATCATCACCAGTGTTAACACACACACACACACACACACACACACACACACACACACACACACACACCAGAACGATTCAAGAATCCAGGTTAAAAGAGAGAGAGAGAGAGAGAGAGAGAAAAGTGATGAACACATCTCTCTCGTTCGCTCGGTCCCCCCCCCCTGGTTGCCTCCTGTGTATATATAATATATAAAATTCGGGAAAAAAGGCGAGAGAACAGAGAGACGCAGACACAAAGTTTCAAGTGCTTTCGTTCGGCTGCTGTGTCTGCGTCTCTCACGACTTCCAGTACTCTCTCGCCACCTTGTCCTTCTCTTCTCCCTTCGCCCAATGTTGTTCGGCCTATTCCATCGCCTCCCGATCGTTTGGGAAGAGAGAGAGAGAGAGTGTGTCTGCGTCTCTCTGGGCTTTGTGTACTCTCTCTCTCTCTCTCGCTTCTTTTTTCCCTACATTTCGTTTATCCTTTGTGGCTAGAAAACGGCTGAAAATGGCCAGAAAATGACCCGAAAATCGGTATTTTTGAAGAATTTTTGAGCCAAAAATTGTGTTTCAAAAGTTCTGAAAATAGCTGAAAATAGCCGAAAAATGACCTCCAAAAATGTGGCGTTTTTGATAGATTTTTGGCTCAAAATGGTCCAAAAGTCATGGAAATTTTGATTTTAGACTGTGTTTTCTAGTGATTTTAAGCCAATGTTACCACAAAAAACGTGGGTTTTTTGGATCTGAAAATGGCCCAAAAAAGCTGAAAAATGACCCAAAAATCAGCATTTTCGATGGATTTTTGGCTCAAAATGGTCCAAAAATCATGTAAAATGGATTTTTGTCAAGAGTCTAAGGTGGTTTTAAGCCTAATTCAAGCCAAAAATTGGGTTCAAATTGACCCAAAAAGTTGGCATTTTTGGGCTTAAAATGGTCCAAAAATTAGGAAGGAAAAATGGATTTCAGACTATTTTTGGCCCTATTTTAAGCCATAATGTGGGCTTAAAATGGTCCGAAAATTGGTATTTTCGATGGGGTTTTTGGTGTCGCTGAGCCAAAATTTTTGTCAATTTTAAGCTCATTTTGAGCCAATTTCATTTCCAGAAATGGTCCAAAAAAGACCGGAAAAACTGAAATTTTCAGATTTTGACGATCTCTCTCTCTCTCTCTCTCTCTCTCTCTCTCTCTCTCTCTCTTCCAGAGAGATGGCGGATTCATTGAAAAGTGCGACAAGTGGCAGACAGAGATAAAGAGAATGAGAGAGAGAGAGAGAGAGAGAGAGAGGCAGAGAAAGAAAATCGTCGGACTTGTTCTCTATCATCCATCCACACAAGTGGATGGATGAGATCACCTCCGCTCGCTCTTCTCTTTCTTATCTTTGTATCGATTTTTGCAAAAATCTCGAACATCTGAAAAAGGCCGAAAATCGAAGTTTCTAGAAAAACTGAAATTTTCAAGTCTCCAGAGACCCTAGTCAATTTAGTGTCACTTTTTCTAGGCTCCTTCAAAAGATATCAAAAAGTTGTCAACTGATAAAATGTTAGTCATATTATCAGCATCATTTTATCAGTTGACCATTTTTTGATATCTTTTACAGGAACCGAAAAAAATTGAGTCAAAATTTGCGATTTTGTAGTCTAAACTACAGTAATTATGAACTACACTAATCCCCTGCGCCTTTAAAGGCGCATAGGGTCCGTTCATTTTTCTGCAATTTCAAATTCATTTTCACTCATTTTTTTGGCAATTTTTTAATCCAATTCCTCCAAATTCTTGGCTATTTTGAAGCCAAATTTTTGGTAGTTTCTCTGCGTCTCTGCGTCTCTCTCTCTCTCTCACTTTTCGAATTTTAATTGAGACAATGAGGGATACTTAAGCTTAGACGTCGCCGTTCGTCGCAGTCTCTATTTTCTGAAGAAGAGTAATTGACGTCGTCGTCTTCTTCTTCTTCTCCGGTTTCAATACTATACTCCTCTTCGTCTCTATCTTCTCCATTTTATGATGACACCAAAAGCCGGACGCATCGCATCGCATTTTGTGTGGGAATTTTTTTTCGAAATTTCGAGAAAAATCGACATTTTCCACGAAATTTATGGGCGTTTTGAGCAGAAAATAGGCCAGAAAGATGGATTTCGAACTGTGTTTGGGCAATTTTTTCTCTGAAAACTAGCTGAAAATGGCTTAGAAATAGCTACAAAATCACTGCAAAAGTCGATTTTTTTCACTGGAGTTTCCCTCATTTTTTGGTCATTTTTCGACCGGTTTTTAGCCATTTTTTAGTGATTTTTCAGCCAGTTTTTGACAATTTTTCGGTCATTTTTAGTGATTTTTCGACCGGTTTTTAGCCATGTTTTTGGTCTTTTTTCGACAATTTCATAACTAATTTTGAGCAATTTTTTGGCAATATTTTTTAGTCAGTTTTTAGCTGTTTTCTGGTCATTTAAAGGCAATTTTCATGTCATTTTTAGCTTTTTTTCCCACTTTTTTGGTTCAAAAAATCCTCAGAAATTGGCTCAAAAGTTATGAAAATTCAGTCTGAAAATCTGAAATTTCAACTTAAGAATGTTGGGATTTTCAGCTTGAAATTTGAAAAGTTTTTAGCCATTTTTTGGCCATTTTAAAGCCATTTTGTATCTAATTTTCAGTTATTTTCAGCATATTTTTTAGGTATTTTCAGTCATTTTTTCCATCATTGTTTCGTCAATTTTTTGCAATTTCAAGCAATTTTCAAACTATTTTTAGCCATTCTTTGGCCATTTTTAAGCTAATTTTCAGCCGTTTATTAGCCATTTTTAGTCATTTTTCAGCTATTTTCAAGCTAGATATCAGCAACCATTTTAGCAATTTTTAGCCTGGTTTTTGCCATCTTAAGCAAATTTTTTGTGTCATTTTCCGGTCGTTTTTCAGCCTGTTTTTGGTCATTTTCTAGCCATTTTTAACCTATTTTTTGGTGATTTTTAGCCAATTTTTGGCAATTTCTCGGTCATTTTTATTGGATTTTCAGCTATTTTTATACCATTTCTTGGTCATTTTTCGACCGGTTTTCAGCTATTTTCCGGTTATTTTAAAGCCATTTTTATGATATTTTTTAAAGATATTCTTAGCCTTTTTAAACTCATTTTTCACCTATTTCTTGGTACTTTTTCAGCAATTCTTCAGCCATTTTGAGTCCCTTTTTTTCCTGTTTTTCGGTTATTTTTTGGTCATTTTTGAGCTATTTTTAGGTAGTTTTTCAACTATTTTTAGCTAAATTTTTGGTCATTTTTAGGCAATTTTCATGCCATTTTTAGCTTTTTTTTTTCTCATTATTTTTTCCTCTTTTTTTCCGTAAAATCGATCTGAAATTTATCTGAAACTCCACATTTTTTTTCAGCCGCCTGCGCCAGAGGTGGTGCCACACACACACACACACAAAATGGGTCAAGACGACGAGGACGATGCGCAAATGCTGCAAGCGAAGCAGCAGATCACGTTCAATGTTGTTAATAAGAGAAAAGTGAGCATTTAGAAGGAATTTTGAGTCAAAAAATTGAAAAAATCGAGAAAATCGAGGAAGTTTGAGCTAGAAAACATGGAAAATCGCTGAAAATCGAGCCAAAAATCGCTGAAATTGGAGAAAATTCCGAAAAATTATAAAAATCGAAAATTCTTTTTTTTCGATTTTTTTTAAAATTTTGAGCTAGAAAATATGAAAAATCGCTGAAAATTGACATAAAAATCGGTTTCTTTTGGCTAAAATTTTGACAAAAAAACCTGATTTTTGTTTCTCTGCGTCTCTCTGTCTCTCTGTCTCCCTGTCTCTCTGTCTCCATACATACAGACAGAGTCAGACACACAGCGAGCGCCTTTAACCAAAAAAAAAAGACAAT